CAAAGGTATAAACAGATCACGTAAATATGTAGGGCCCGTAACGTCTGAAATTAGGGATGATAATAACAATATTCTGACCGATCCGGTTGACATATTGAATAAGTTTAAGGACCACTTTGACAACATTTTAAATACGGGAAATTATGATCTGTGTCCTCCTTCTGAGTACCAGAGTGCTGAACCGTTAATAGAAGGACCAAGTAAAGAGGAAGTTGAAGTAGCTATCGGAAAATTAAAATCATATAAAGCAGCGGGAATCGATAATATTCCTACTGAACTAATTAAGGCATGCGGGGAAGCTGGAGTTTCTAAAATACATCGGTTGGTTAAAAAGATCTGGGTGAACGAGAAATTACCTGAAGAATGGAAAGAATCTATTCTTATTCCGATTCACAAAAAGGGTCCGAGGACGGATTGTAATAACTATCGAGGAATTTCACTCCTTCCGGTATGTTATAAAATATTCACTTTAATCTTAACCAGTCGAATCACGGAATACGCCGAGGAAATTATCGGAGACTACCAATGCGGATTTAGACGGAATCGTTCGACAATTGATCAAATATTTTCTTTACGGCAAATATTAGAGAAAAAATTGGAGTATAACGGTATTGTTCACCAGCTGTATATAGATTTTAAAAAGGCTTACGATTCTATTGACCGCCAGAAACTGTATAATATTCTAATCGAGCAGGGGATTCCAAAAAAACTAGTAAATCTAGTCAGGATGTGCTTGACGGAGACACTCAATAAAGTTAGAATCGGTAATAATTTGTCCGAAAAATTTGAGGTTCGTTCGGGCTTAAAACAGGGGGATTCTCTTTCGCCTGTCCTGTTCAATTTGGCATTAGAACATGCCATTAGGGAGGTAATGCGAACCGAGAAAGGGTTGGATCTGGGCGGGACAACATCCGTGCTGGGCTATGCTGATGATCTGGTACTGTTAAGCGAAGACGTTGAAACTATAAAACTAAATACGACAACGTTAATGAAAGCCGGTAAAGAACTAGGACTCGAAATAAACGTGGATAAAACAAAATATATGGTTAGCTGCAAAAATGGCGATACTACTGGTGATATCGATATAGATGGTAACATGTTTGAACAGGTAGATAAATTTAGGTATCTAGGTACTACGATAACTAGAAAAAACGAAATTGAAGAAGAGATTAAGGTTAGACTGAAGGCGGGGAATGCTTGTTATTTTTCTGTGACAAAACTACTTAGTTCGCGCCTCTTGTCCCGAAACTTAAAAATTAGAATCTATAAAACAATTATCTTGCCTATAGTTCTTTATGGATGCGAAACTTGGCCGCTTACATTAAGGGATGAACAGCGTCTTAAAGTTTTTGAAAATAAAGTATTGCGTAGAATATTCGGACCGAAGAAGGATGAGTTAACCGGAGAGTTCAGACGGTTACACAACGCCGAATTGCGTGAGCTGTATCCGGGTATTATAATTGAGGTAATTTCATCGCGGCGAATCAAATGGGCTTGTAAAGTTGTTGGGCTTAGTAACGAGAGAATTCCTAAAAGGTTAATATTTGCTGTGCCGAATGGTAAGCGTCCGAGGGGTAGACCGAAGCGAAGGTGGGAAGATTGCATTAAAGCCGATCTGAAGGGACTGGGTTTGGACGGCGAACGGTGGAGGGAGGTGTGTAATAAGCGATTTGTGGTGTCGGCATCGAACCTTCGGGTTCGCTAAGCCTTTTATTATTATTATTATTATATATTTGTGTTGTTATTATTATTTAAATCTTAAATATTCTGGCTTTTGCGGATTCAAAGCTGAAGGTGGAGGACAAGTTATAAGTTTTTTTTTAGATATTTTTTAGTAATTCTGGCTGTATCCAAGAGAACTGCTTGATGAGCCTCTCTTAACACACCAAGGGTGTTGTTATAATTATTATATATATATTTTTTTTGTAAACTAAAATTTCTAATATATTGCGGAATTAAAGATGCTCTATAGCTAATAGTTGACAACAATATTCCTCACCTACTACTTCAGACTTAAAATATATCATAGAGGTTCGAAAAAAATAATATTTCTGATTTAAACAAGTATTACCCAAAAATTATTATTGAATGTAAAAATGTTGTTCGAAAACAATGATCAGGATATGATTTTTATCAGTTAAAAAATTCCGGATAAAAACTGTGATCCGATTTGATTTTTATCATTATTTTTTTAATTATCGATTTCAAACCCTGTTATAATATGAAAAAAATATTTTTTTGGAATGTTAATGCCATGTTGTAAGCGTGGGTATGCCTCTGAGGCGTGGTGGAGTTACCTCTGTACTATCATTATTACGATTTCTATAAAATGATAAATCGAGCTTTTAATAAAATGTAATAATAAATGATGCATAGAATTAAATGTAGTCACACTTACCTAAAATTCTGTTATCCTAAACTTTTTACTCTCGGATCACAGAATTACTAAGCACTAAAATTTTATTCCCATAAATATTAACCCTAGGAAAAGTTAAGCTTACTTAAAACATTTAGAGAAAGAGAGAGCGAGGGGTGCGATTCCTCAGTCACCAGGTAAACTATTTACCATCTTGGTTTTCGCGAAAAATTACTCTACCATTATCACGGCTGCAAACAAAAAAGTATACGTACCCTACAACTTCGTGAAAAACTGAGAGAAAAATTGTTACTAGCTTTCTAAGGATCAAATTTCTAATTGAAAAATACGCCTCACTTTAGAAAATTGTCATTCCTCTATATTAAAATATATGTTATTCTTCCGCACATCAACAAATGGTACTAATCGTGTGATTGTGGTGTGTTTTAAAGGAGTAACCTGAAAAATATATAGCCATAAAAATTGACATTCATTTGTAGGTTGTTAAAGATTCCAGAATGGTAAAGTATGGAACCGCCATTTTTGACTGAGGAAATCATCATTATCCGAACATCAAACAAATCGATAAGTCACAATAATTCTAATAAAATCCAAAAGAGATGTTAATTGAAGCGTTTTTACTGCGGTGGAAAATTCAGACAGCTGTACACTGTCTGGGTTCCACCCAGGCCTCAGGAGTGTCAAGTACGCAAAGGAAATTCCTCGAAAAAGGAGTGGGGAGGAAAATATCCAAAAAATATATTAAGAGGTAGAGGGAAAAACTGATCAGTCCTTGAAAAAAGGCCTGAGGAGAGAGATAAAAAAGTCTGTCTTGAGAAGAAGTGCTGAAGAAGGCAGACGGTGGACACAGAGCTGAAGGTGCTTGAAGCGGTACAGATAGAAGATACATTTATTTTATAAGGTATTTAATACTTTTTAATTTTTTTTTATGAATATATATATAGTTTCTAGATCATCTAATATAGTAATGGTTAGACAAGTTTTCGTAAAGCCCCAAAGATCAACTCCATACATTCGAAATGCTGAAAATGAGCTTTTTCCATTAAATTAGAAGTTCGGAGTGTTGGGAGGGATTTTGTTAACGCAAACACTAAAACGGAATAAATTAACTGTAAAGGGTGTAGCAGACACAAGATATAAGTCTTCCTATCAAAAAAGAAATATTATGTAGCTGGCAATCTGTGTGGAGTGAGGGTCCGTCAAGCAAACTAAAAGATACTAGACAAAAAAACTAAGGTGTGCGCTTTAGACCACACGATAGAAGTGAAAACATAACATCAACGAAGCAGGATTAGTACTATGAAGTAATAATTATAAATAATAGCTCATTATAGAGAGGATGAAATGCTGAACGTTTCCCTCGATTACACTATACTGGTCTGATTTTTAGTTTCTGAGATATATTTATTGATATCTTCAATAAAACTCGTTATCATTTGGAAACTATCTTTTTCCATCTCCTACTCCCTAACACTGTGCTGGGTTAAGGTATAATTTTGAATAATAGCTCTTTACAAAGAAGATGAAATGCTGAACATTTTCCTAGCAAACAGTTTACAGGTCCGATTTTTAGTATCTGAAATATTTTAATCTATATGTTCAACTATACTTGTTATCGTTTGGTTTTCGACTTTATTTTTTCTTTTCGCCTCCGTAAAACAGCATCAAGTTAAGAATCAATTTTAAATTATAGCCTATTACTGAGAGGATGAAATGCTGAACAATTTCCTCGCTTAAAGTATGCAAGTCAGATTTTTAGTTTTTGAGATATTTTAATCCATACGTAAAAACATTTCAATAAGTCGATACCAGCCGATTTTACCCGAGTATTAAAATATGACGGATCAATCTAATTCACTCTCCACAAAAAAGTGCAGAACGCGCCTAAAGAAGTATTGAATTAAAAAAAATAGTAAAGCCTTGATAAATATCAAACCGTCCTATCGGCAGAGAAGAGGTTGTCTTAACCAGACTGAGGGTAGGCCATACCAATCTAACCCATCCACATCTCATTAGCAAACAGCCATTACCAAAATTCCAACACTGTAATAGTACACTTACACTTCGCCACAGTTTTCAAGAATGTTCTTTTTATATCTCGAATTTAAATAGTTCCGGACGAATTCACTCCAATATCAAATATCCATAAATATGACGAAGACACAGTAAAATTGGATTTGAATTTTTAAAAATTTAACTATTTGTTAAACAAAATTTAAATTTAAATCTAGTTCAGCAATGAACAAAATTAAACGCAGGCTTTAATGACCTCGATGTTTTACGCCTAAAAAACTCAACAAACAAGCGAACAAACTCTAAAAGGTGAAGTTATGATTTATTTTAATCTTCTAGTTTTGCCATTGCTCTTCAAGATTTATATATATATATATATATATATATATATATATATATATATATATATATATATATATATAGCTAAGGTTCAACGTGTGACTAAAAATTTTAAGATTCAATTCACTGCTTCACTCATTTGATTTAATCAAAGGTTGAATATGAACAGTACTTATTTATCCTCGTACCTAAATCGATTGGAATCCCAGGTGTATATATCGTGTTGAAGATGATACCAAGAATAAGTACTTAAAGGTACTCCATCAGACTAAGAATGGTGTTTATTGAAGCTTTTAAGAACACCTTCCATATGGAACCTTATCGCTTTACAGTTTAATCTTATATTATTACATTTAATATAATGGACATTTTCCTTATAAAGTGCGAAAGGGTACAACGTGTTTGGTGTATTTTTTATTAGAAAAATGTATCATTAAATCGATAATGGTCAAGAGGGCTGATAACAGAACGTGATTAGATTATACTTTCAAGAGTGCTTAAACCAGAATTCTGCCATTTTCGCTGCTGAAGCCCTCCACATACCATCATCCTGTCACCTTGTACTAGGACCTGCACCTCTAACTGCCAACACTCTAAAGGTACTTAAAAAAAAATAGGTTTAAATATCTCTAAGCATTATATATACGGGTACATAGTATATACTTTTTTATACTAAAGTATATACTTTTGTTCTTGATTGTTGCGTTTCATTTTAATATAATTAAAGGTAAGAGTGTAAAAGTATTGTAAACAATTTACTAAATATTCAGTTATATTCTGTATAAGGATAAATACAAATTAAAATACATAACATTTAAATATATACAAAAAATTCATGGTTAGTCATTTTTCATTAAAAATTGTCATCAACTTCCTGCGTACGAAAATAAATATTCCAAATATGCAAAAACAGCGTTAATGAGTTATTTAAAATAGTTTAAAATTAGCATTCAGTTTAAAATTTATGTATATAATTTAAAATTGATCCAATCCAGTTTTGTGATTTAAAAGGTTATTTCAAGTATCGGAAGGAATCCGAGATAAGAAATTGGTTCTTGAAATCAATTGTGCAAGATAAGATCTGCTTTTTGAGGAACTGATTTACCAAATAGTCCTTATTGAACAAAAAGGAGTATATTTTTTTTTTCATCCAGATTTTAGTAATTTTGTAGACTTGTGTTAATAAAATTTTGCTCTTCACTGAATTTAGAATTAGGTTGGTGAATTTATTAATTAAATGAAATTTAATTTTCATTCGTTTTAGTTAGTTTATTATACCACATATGTAATGAATGCTTGATTTAGTGGTAAAACATTCAATTAAAATTCTTTTATTGAATATTATTAGAAGTTGAACGATTTTGGTGAAAACAAAAATTAATCGAGCTAAAATCAATTATGATGAAATATATAATTTTTGAAGAGAAATTTTTAATAATTCTATTGTTTTATGAATACTTTAAATTTGGAGAAAATTTGAGAAAGCTAAAACACAATACGTATATTAGCTCAATTGGAACAATAAATTTTACATTAAACATTTTCAAAACATGTATTATGTTGTGTTACTCATCCATTACGAAACCAGAATTTTATTCTCTGCTTGTTACTGGTAGTTTTGATAAGAAGAGATTAGAAAAATAATAAATCATTAGAAATCCGAATTCTTAGTAAAAGATTCATCCGTACTGGAAGATTAAGAATGAAGACTATAGTTGGAATGAGCTCAATTATTATAAATTGATGATATAATATACACTTAAAACTATAATTAATTAATTATAAGATATTAATTTATTATTATTAAATCATATAATGATTTTTCCAGCGATGTCCTGGCTGTTGCTAGGGGTTCTTGCCACCATTGGGCTGGCAACCGCTGACATCCCAGACTACTTTCAACCAGTCAGCTACGATCTTTCATTCGACGTAAATTTGGACATACCAGCAAATGGATTTCGAGGAACTAACATGATACAGTTTAAAACATCGGTAAGAGGAAGTATTTAACTCCGTGTGTGTGCGTGTGTAAGAAAGAAAGAGAGAGAATGAGAGAGAGAAAGTGTGCATGTACCTACACGTCATGCATTTTATAGAATCAGAGATAAGCAAAACTGTATTTCCAATTACTTTCTATGAACCCTGATACTATAACTAAGCAATTTTACAACACACAGTTTGTATTAGTGTTATTGAGGGAAAATATATATATATATATTTTTTTTTTGTAAATAAATCTCAGAGCAAGAAAAAATCTTGATTAGAAAATGGAATATACTGTATCAATATTGTTTATTTTTGGCTTAAATTTTTTTTTTTGTAAGGAATTGCATTATCTTTCAAAAGATCATATATAAAAATTAATATAACATGTATACTTTGTGATTTATCAAATCGAAACTTTGATCCTATCTCAATACTGTAAGATAGTAAAAATGAATCACAATTTAAATTAAACTTTATTACCGTTCATAATTTTTTTTTGACAAGTTTCCTTGGGCAAAATTTAAGAAATAAGAATAAGAAACATTTTGTAGGTTATTACTTTTTAAGGTTACGATTATTTTATATTTCAGGGCGTTGATAAAAAAAAGTAATTAAAAAAATATTGTTATTACATTAAATTATTTATTATATTTAATATGTCGTTTTACCACAGTCGTTATCCAGGTTTTTTCTATAACAAATATTTTTTTATTCCAATAAATAAATAAATATGTTTTGTACTTTTCCCCTGTGATTAAAATTGTCCTTGGGAAGGACCACTCCCTCACTCCAAAGATTAATCAGTAAAAATAAAACCATCAGTAAAAATAAGTGAAAAGATTAAATTTAAATTACTTTTTTTCTTCATTTTTTCTCTAAAATAATATTGATTACGATTAGCAATGGCTGGCTTAGAATTTTTTTTATTTCAGAGCAGAATAAGAAATTTAATTATTCCTATTCAATATACAATCGATATTGAGAATCTGATTTGAAGAGGGGAATTGTAAAGCACAATCAGTTTGATACTTCAAATTCTTGTGCTTACGTCATTTATGTCGTGACAGCTGAAAGATATATCCGTCATAATTTTATATAATGATAGTAATCTAGGATGTATAATGTTTACTGCACTTTCAGTAGCAATGAAAAAAAAAAAACAACCTAAATATAATAAATAAAACAAAAATAATTATTAAAAAGTTGTTAAAGAAAATGAATGATGATGCCTATTGACGTTGTATTACAATTTCAATATTTGGGAACAATTTTTTTTTTTTTATTGAATTCTTGCGATTTCAAATATGAGTGTTCCTATTAAAGAATAAATATGAAATCTATGATTCCTTTAATTATTGTTTTCGTATCTAGAGAGGATGTTGACTTAAAATATGACTTTAATGCGTATTGATGTTTGACCTAATTTGGTAATCTTAATGAATCTATAGTTTTTAGAACTACTCGAAGGTTTCTAGTCCATCCTAATTATTGATTTTATTATAATATATATTAAATATATATTTTTAGAAAATAATGGGTTACACCTAACATAAGTTATTTTTTCATATTTAATTTTCGTTTCCTATTGTGTCTGTGTGATTTTTTAAACTATCGTCCTGGATTTCGATATTTACAATGTCCTAATTAAGGACAAATGTTTGAGATATTAAAAATAAGATAAATGAGTCAGAAAATAAGCCTCGTGGAACTGAGAGTCCAGATTCCTCCAATATTGAAAGCTCTCAATTACTGAATTTTTTAAAATAAAACTACAAAAGAAACTATACTGATACTGTTGTAAATTAGTATTTGAAGTATTTCAATAACTAATGCAATGGACTAATATGAAAATGTAATAAACTATTGTATAACCAACAAAGTATTAGTTTGTTTTATATAAAAAATTGTTATAATATTGTGAAAAAGCAATGTAATGCCAATTCTTTTTGAATTACAACCCAACATTCTATGTTTGAGTACAGCACTTTGTATTCAACAAGCAGGGATGTCGAGGGGAATATGTGTATTATTATTATTTTTTTTTTTGGCCTTAAATATTTATTTGCACCTGTTAACTTAATTTTGAAAATCAGCCAATGTGCTGAGAATACAAGAAATAATGACATTTCACGCATGGAAAATTATAAAGTCTGATTTGAACACACCCAAAGAATGAAACCATTATTATAGTTTCGGCGTAGAATACCATGGATTTTGCCACACTGTAATTTAGTTGTACTGTGTCAGATTTTCAATCTCAGTTTCAGCAATAATTTGAGGCGTTAATAACGTTATTAACGCCATTTTCGACCGCATGAAAAATATTAAAAAAATTAATCGAAGAATTATTTATTAACTAGGGCTATCAATTAGTTTTCATAATATTCTCTAATATAGTAAAAACTATTATATCAAAATATAATTATACATAAGGTGATATACATAAGAATATATAGACTATGAATAATAAATATTAGTGTATGGTTAACAATAATTAGAGAGAATAGTAAAATAAGACTATATGAAATACATAATGTTATAAGAATAAGGTCGAGTTAAATATAATATAGTACAATTTAATATAATAATAATAATAAAATAAATAAACTAAAGTAATGAAATAAAAATTAGAAAAATTAATTCTGATTTAACAATAAATTAATTTTAGTATAGGAATATAGTACAATAAATCAGTAGAATAAATGTTGTTCAATAAAAGTAGGAAAAGAGAAAAATTGAAAAAAAATTGAGGTAGTATAAATTTAAAAATAAGAATTTTTTTTTTTAGTTAGCTTACTGCTAGGTTTGTCTAACAGATATTATGATATTCGGTTGAACAGATATGGGATTATAAAGCTTAAAGTCGGTTTCCTAAATCTATTTTTAAATGTATATATGATATACAAATATCACAATGTATATACGATATTTATATATACAATGAATGTATGATATTTTTATATACAATGAATGTATGACATTTATATATACGATAATATTTAATATTCCTAAATCTTTTTTAAATTGTTACATCTTTTCAAAATTTCTCAATTTAAATGATTTTAAAAGATACATAAAAAAGATTTTTTTAAAATAACATTATCCTTATTCAAAGTGGCCTATTAAGAATAAAAATAATAATTTTATGGATTTACATTGGAAATCATAGAAATCTATAAAATAAATATAATTTAGGAATAAAAAACACTTTAGTATGTATGTCATAATGTTATACAATTTTTTTCCTACTTGATGGGTGAGCAAAACACTTAATCTACAGCTCAAGGGAGACACACTTGAAAATGGTTATGAAATCAATATTTCATTTCGGATCTCAGTTCCACGTACAACAAATAATGATAAATCCTGTTAGGTATTTGTTTTTTTAAAAGCGTTTTAATGTCGGTTAGATTTATTCCTTGCCCTATAAATGCCAATCAAGAATTTATTTATGCATATCGGAATTCAATGGAAGTCTTGAGCCAACAAATAAAAAAAAAAAAAAACCTTATATATGTATTTTTAATGAATAGTGGATTAAATAGCATAGTAAATTCAATCACTTAAATGTGAAAAATTATGTATTTATTTTTTTGATCAAAATATAAATTATCCTAATTTTTGTTAATTGTATATTGAAATATTTTTATTAATTACTTATATAGATGTAATACAATTTAAATGTAATATCTAATTATGTCTGTCAAATATAATTAGGAGCATTATTTATTTTTTATTTTCACATCAAACATATATTGTATTAAATATTTTAGATTTAAAAAAAAACGTCCTAATAATTTTAAAAAAATAATCCGAACAATAATAATATTTTCTGAATACAGCAACAATTATATAACGATTGAAAATTTATCCTTAAAGATAGTAATTTTCCTGTTGACAGATAAATGATTGATGAGACCTCTTCCTGCACTTTTTCTTCAAGTTGTGCTTCAACTTATGCTGAAGTGAAATATACAGTTATTAGTAATATAATATAACTAAACCAATAACTAATATAATTATTAGTTATATCTATAATATATAGTTTAAAATTTAAACTCACATAATTATCGTCGTTAGCATAGCAAAAAATTAATTAAGTAATATTTCATAACCTTAAATTTTTCCATCGCAAAATCAGAAAATAGTGTAGTTGTTGTTTGATATGTAAAAGGGTTTATCTCATTTGAATGCACTCACTGTATTTTTGTAGTTAATAAATAAGGTTGAAATTCATAAAAACGTTCTTCAAAGTTCAGCTCTATCGAAAATGTACTTTGAGACTTTTTTCAATAAATCGACGATATATATTTTATGATACCTGCAAGTATCACAAACTAATAATTCTGTATGATGATTAAATATTTTCCTGACCATTCTTAACATTTCAATGACAAATAAGTTAAATATATTATATTTTTATCCATTATAACGCGAATAATTATAACTAAAACTATGGTTAGAAATCTGACACATTATAACTAAATAACAATTTTGCTAATTCCTCTGTGTCGGAAAAACGAAGCTGGATGGAATTAAAGTTGACTGGTGGGACGGGGCGTAGGTAATGGAGAAGGTGACGTGTTCGCATTTGGATTCGTTTACTTTGATACGCCCTTTATTACACCTGTGCTCAATCAGGGAGAGGTGTCTTTGCAAATTTAAAGATGCTATTTTGGAATCAGCGGCATTTTTGTAATGATCCATATTTTGTCGCTTCGGTGGCATTTTTTACATAATTTAAATACAATTCAAATTAATATAAAAAACAAAAGTATAAAATTAGGATTATTGAGTATATGTAAAAAAAAAAACTATCTAAACACGTTATAATGGTTTTTACTCCACAAATCGAGAGTTCGAATTGCTATAATAAAAATCACCTCATAACAACATGTTATATTTTGTGAAAAAAACGTATTTTTTGCACTTATAACCTTATAAACGAATAAATATTGACCTTTTTCATAACAGTGCATTATATAAATTATTAAGTTACTCATTATAAATTATATTGAAACTCAATGATTAAACGTTATTACGACAATCCATCAAAGATGAATTGCGAAATGTATTCTATTGTACAAAGAATAAATAATTGAAGTGGTGTATCATTGTGATGGTCGTGATATCATTTTATGATATTTTTCCTAACACATGAATCACTGATAAGCGCGTATTGAACGACTGGGGCGTGATTATTATACACCTGGCATACTTAAGGGACTAATTTTCGTTTTATATATATATATTTTATATATTATATATATATATATATATATATATATATATATAAGCCCTATGGTTTAACAATTTATTTAATTTTTAACGAGGTTCGAGCAGTTTGCTCATTATCATCATTATTATTGTTTGTTAATAATCATTAATTACCTAATGACAATTACATGTATGATGCCAATGCTACTGTGAGAACTTACTAAAACTCCATAATATCAAAACCTTTCTTTATTCTTAGAGAAAAAACTTCCAAGTATAAAGCTAATGGTTTATTTGTTATAATCATTTTAAGTTGACGTTTCGGGAAATTATTCCAATAACCATAACTTTATTCCCCTCCTTCATAGCAATAAACGGCTAGAAAAGATTTACAATTAAAATGAAGGTATGTTATAAGCTTGTCAGTGTAATGTTGTTGCTTAATTTGCTATGATTATAACAAATAAACCATTTGTTTTGTACTTGGAAGTTTTTATTGCCAACAATAAAGAAAATTAAACAACTTCTCTACAAAAAATAAGAATTCAAAATCTTTCTATTATATTATCCTTTTGATGGAGACACCATTTATAAGTACAATAAGCGCCCTTGTAACACTATGAAAGTAATTACATATTTTATTTTATGAATATCTTTAAAAAAATGATTTTTTTCTTTAAACATATTTTCTACGCCTCTAAACAATCATATCATTTTTTTTTTTTTTTTTTTATAGAAAAACTTGCCGTTTAATGTCACTGAAATAGTCCTGAACTCTCTGGACCTAACGGTAACTAAAGTAATGTTCTTCTATCCCAGTGGGAGGGAAGATCCATTTACGGATATATCCACCAACAAAGATGAAGAGACCATTTCATTCAGAGTCAAAGAAGCTCTCAAGCCAAACAGCTTTTACAAGATGTCTATCGAGTACAGTGGAAAACTAGATGGTACTGAAGGTCTCTTCGTCAGTAAACTGAACAACGAGTAAGTCCTTTAACAGTTAGATAATTATTAAATATCGTCCAATTCGTCAACGTTTAATAACAACATATGTTTTAGGAATTATTTAGGTATGAAAAATTACCCAGTTTATGCCAGAAGGATATACCCCTGCTTTGATAAACCGAATTTGAGATCCCAATACAGCGTACACTTGGACATCACCCATTCAAAGAAAAAAGAACCAGTAGTTGTCACTGGATTGACTTTACATGCAAAGGCAAAGTAAGTTTGTTAAACAATATTGCAAAGTTTCTATGAAAGTGTAAAGTGTTAAGTAGCTCAAAGTCTTTTTTGCTCTATTCGTAATCCAGTTACTTTATATATATATTATGCTGGAAATATTCAACTTTGGAATTTGAAATATCCTGTTCCAACACCCTATAAGTTACATATTTTTAATGTATCCAGTTACATATGTATTTATTTTATCCAGATACTGTGATAAGAGAATTTAACTTGGTAGCACAGACAGTACAATATATCCAGTGTGACACTACCCAACTATCAATCACAGACATTATTACCAAATATGTCTAAAAAATAAATAAAAAGCATGATATTTTGTAAGCTTAGATTTCAGATGTATGGACTTAAATGAACCGTAAGTGATCGAAAATCCCGCACTGTTATAAATAAATAAATATCTTAGATTAATCGTTTTAATTTTTTTTTTCAACAAATATATACTTATATTTATTAAAAAGATATATGGTAAAAACGTATATTATTATTTGATTTTTTCAATTTACATTTTTCATATATAATGTTTTATGTTCTTTATTTTAAAAAAATCAGTTATGATGTGATATATCTCTTTTATTGAGGATGTTAATTATTAAATTTTATCAAATTTAAAACTGAGTTGAACCGCCATCTTTGAAAAGGAAATTTTATAAAAAAAGAAATATTTCCTTAAATAAAAATTAATAATAGAATATACAATTGGTACATATCGAATTCAATATAAATAAACGAGAAAAAAAACCCTGTACCAATACAATCCATGAAGGGCTTGTAGGTTCATTACTTTGTAAGAAAGAAGTGTTTCTAAGCCAATGATTGTTCAGAGAGGGGTTGAATTTAGAAACTATTAGTTTAAAAAAAAATCATGCAATTTTTTTCACCTGTGTTATATAAGCACCAAACTAAAGAAGAGTAAAAACAAACTTACAGAAGTAAAACATCTCCAAAAGTTAAAGTTTAAGGTTCTTTTGCCAACTTCAAAAGAACCACTTCGTCTCTTAAAAGTTAAATAAAATTCCTTCAAAATGAAAACGATTTACATTATGGCAGGTAGAAACTTAGAGGCAGGCTTAAATTGGGAGTGATCCAATCTACATCTAGAATACTAGTTATAAAATACTTGATTATCTAACTGACGCTAGCACAAAGATAATAATTTTTTACAGGTGAAACGTAAAACAAAATTGTTTAAGGTGTTTCTTATTACAATAACACCATCACATAATTGGTAAGCCAAAAGAGGACTCTCCCATTCCTTACATGCTACATATTACATTATCTGATAAACTGGATACAAATACTAATATCTTATAATCATTATGTTACTTACATTGATGGATATTGTTTTCAGCGGTAATACCCTTTTGTCAGTGGATTATATCAGCCCTGTAGATTTGCCACCGTATGGAGTGTACTTTACCGTAGGAAACTATAGGAAACCTAGCGACGAGTTTCCCGTTTACGTTCCTAATGGTATTTCAAATGAAGACATCAATCAGGATTTATGGGATGCTGTGACGTCAACTGTGGTCAGCGATTTAAGTATGAGTTCCGGTGTTGAACTCACGCTGGTGATTGTGCCAGGCTTGAATGTCCCTAGTGTGAGTGGTTACGGAATTGCCGCAATCAGGTAATGCCAAATTTACTTATTAACAACATAAAGATATTAGCTATAACAACATAATAGTTCAAAACCGCATTTAAACAAAATCACTTTGCTTTCACACAGCCGTGATGTGAGCTTGGATGTGCTTGGAAGTTCCATCGACTCTCTTAAGGACCAAGCTCTTCAGTTGCTGCGTGCTTCAGTTCAGTCCTTCTTTGCAACAGTCGTCTCACCATCCTCTTGGAAAGAGATGTGGCTTGCCGAATCTATACCGATTTACATCGCCCACGCAGCTCTCAATCAGGTAACTTTGGCAATAGAGTTGATTCAAAAATATATTTCATTATGAACTATGTTTAATTTAAGAATTTATCTACAGCTGAGATCCAATTGGAAGCATTGGCCCCAAACAGAAGTCTTGGCACTCCAGCAGTCTGCGCTGTCCAACTCTTGGTCGACATCAAGCTCGCCAATAATCGCAAGCAACTTGAACACCTCTAGTAAAATCGTCAACTTCATCTCTGACCCAGCAATTATTAAAGGTAATTAGCGGATAGATTTCATTTTCTTATATTTATTTTAAAAAGTGAAAAAAAAACTAAGGTCAATTTAAAGGTAATTTTTGTGAACCATAGCTTTAATTCTAATGGTACATCTTTGCAAATGTGTTTAATTGTAAACAAATTAAATTTTTTCTGTCTAATAATATAAATAGAAATATCGATTTTTTTTCTCTGTCTAGTCAATTAGTCAAGTATTCATGTAAAACTTGGGTAATTCTAACAAACGATATTAGACGGTTTTAGAGGCATTACGCTTTAAAAATAAATGCAGTAAAGTTTCAAACAAAGAAATATCAAACAACAGATTAATGAATCAAAGTCAAAACATATTTCATAAAGAAAAGTGAAAAGAAAACCTCCCTGAAACAAACACAGAGTCTTATTCCATTAAAAAATCAACTATCAATCGGCTATTGTGATATGATATAACTTGAGGTTCAGGCAGGTGTGCCCAGAAGAAGGTTTCATGGCTCAAGTTGCGCCATCAAAAATTTTGGAGGGAGCACATTTTGACGTAGTTTTAAATTTTTGAGGGGAGACATTTCGTGAGGGAAAAAAATATTCAAGCCAAAAGAAAAGGAAGCATGGAAAAGACTGCAGGAACTGTAATTATATATAACATACGATTTTTTTAAGTCCAGACAAAGTTTAAAAATTTACATAAATGTACCTCACTGTTAACAGATTTTGCAATTTTTTATTTTTATTTTATTTTTAGGATCAGCATTTTTAGGAATGTTGGAAACATTAGCTTCTAACCCACTTACATCCTTCGTTGGATATGTTAAACAACAGTAAGCAGAAACTCTCTCTCTAGAATAAGTACTTACAATTAATAAATAATTCTAATTATGTTTTTACTTTTTTTAGAAAAGGAAAATCGGTTTCTTCAGAAGATTTTCTAGCCTTTTACGCAAAATTTAATAACATGAATCAGACACTTCCTGACGGAAAAACTCTTTGGACCATCTTCAAACCATGGCTTACAGAAAGCGGTTATCCATATCTGTCGGTTTTCAGAACTGATCACGAAGTAGTTGTAAATAAGGTAAGTTATTTATAGAATATTTCAGATAATTCAGGTTTTCATGAAACGAGTGTTAAGTAATGTGTTGAACCTCTTAAGTGTGTTGAAGTCGATAATCTTATTTAAGAAATGTGTATTAAATATGGCCGCTAGTATATTCTATTTTAACGCAGTCTGGGGTCCTGTAAAGTGGTATTAATTTCATAAAAACATAGAATGGTTATAATGTGATTTCGATATTCTGTTTAGTTCTTTGTACAGAAACATTCTACCAATATAAGTCTGTACAATAACAAACAATGAGACAGAAATTCAGTGTTGTCTTGGAAAAAAGACTGGATTGACTTGAATTTCATTTAATATAAAATTAAACTGGAATCTATCGACCCTCACAGTTAGTCTGAATCTGGTATTTCTGACAATATTTCCTAACATCAATAAGAAAACTACACTGATCCAGGAGAAAATTTAATAGTATACCTCATTCACTTAACAGCTAGGATTTCATTAATATATTTTCAAGTTCTTTTCCTTCAGCGTCTTCATTCATGCCTTCTAATAAAACATTTTTAATAAAATAATCCGGCAACTCTGCTTTCCCTTTGGCATTTTAAAAATAAATCAAAACGTTATTAGATCAATTAAGACGGAGAAATCGGAGAGAATATAACTAATAAAACATTACCAGATTAGTACACAAGGATCCTTTAAAACTTTTGTTGACTGCATAGCAGGTTATTACATATTAAGCATTCACTATAAGCTGCATGCATACCCCTAATGTAACAACTCTGAAGGAAGAAGGAAAGGATATTTCTATTTCAATTTTTTGTCAACTAATTAATCCTAAAGTTTAATCTATTATATTAACAATTCGAAATATGATCAAACCTTATGTTAAGCTCCTGAGTTAAAATAATGTGGAACGAGAAAAAAAAAATACTGAAAATTAAAATGCAACATTGAAAATGTATTCCATATATTTAGATTTTCAAGCGTTTAAACTTAAGTGTTAATACTATTTTTCCAGATCACTAAAAAAAACTGTCTAAAAAATAACATTAAATTCTCTGATAGAAATATTTGTTCTTACCAGTTCTGCAATGAGCATCTATCTGTGGTTTCCTATCACACTCAATTGATTTTTCCACAGGGTGTACAGAAGATAACTTTTTCATCAAATTTCAATCAGGGGGAATTTAATATCCAGGTTTGAGTTTTTGACAACTGGCCAGATAATACTTTCAGCATTATTGAATTTTTAAAATTAACGTAACTCCACTACAAGTCACTCCTAAGCTAGAAAGGGTATTGAAGTGCTGAATAATCAGTGACAATTCAAGACAAATGCCTTTCTAAAAAAAAAAGCTTATTCTAGGAAGGCAGTTTTTCATTGTTATCCAATATTTTCGGCAAGTTATATTCCCACAATATTTCCCACTTTCGTTTTCTTCCTTTTGTAACATTAAATTCGAATCTTTGTAAGTAATAGAAATATTTACCTTCCTCATATATTTTTATCTTAAGTTATAAATTTAATACGGACAAGATAGTACAATAAAAAAGTAAATAATTACACACACGTGTATATTGACATTTATAAATAATCTCAAATTAGCACAAAAATGTGCATTTTGATGCAACAAAAATCAAAATAAATTTAGTTCCGAAAGACCAAAACATATAATTTTATGCAGTATCAAATTTAAATACATTATTCTATTATTCGTGAAACGGATAGATTTGTAGTTTTTACATGCAAGAGAATAAAACGTACAATGACATGGAAATCCGGTCTCTAATGAAAAATAAACTTAGTATAGTCATTTAAGAATTTTATATTTTACTATTTTGAATTGTAAAAATATTTAATTATTACTTGTTTTTTTGTTTTTCTAGAAACGATTCGGACAAGCTGATAACACCGGCTGGATGTTACCTTTATCCTACAACACATTCTTCGTTAACAATACCAAAGTACTTCTTGGTGCTGATAAAACAATGGTTTGGCTAGACGACAAAGTGAATGGGAATTATTCTGTTTTGAAAGATCGAACTCACGACCTGTTGGTTGTCTTCAACGTCCACGGGCCAGGTTTGTACCAATAATTAGTTAATACGGAAAAAAGAAAGTTTTATTTAATGACATGATACACTTATTAAATATATATAATAATATATGATAATAATATATTTATTATCATAACCCACAATGATAAAGAAGAGACATTTTCAAGTTTCGAGAGAAGATGCAAACGATTTATTGTTGAAACGTTAGATTTAAAGTGATTTTACAGATATTGATCATTCTAAGTTCATAGATGATTTGTTTAGTACAGGCTTCATTTTGAAATCTTGCCCTTTATTTAATTCAAAGACCATGGCCTTTTTATTATTGAGAAAGAAATTTGTTATTATTGTAAGTAATTTAAAAGTTCGAACATTGAAAATTACCGCAACTGCCCCAAGTAAAATATCTTTATTTTTATTATTATATTATATAATAATTATCTCATTATTTTTCTGATCAATAGAGAATCAACTTTTGACTTCCCTCGAGAAACTGAACTCTTATTTAACAATTTTTATTCTTAAAGTTTTATATTAACAAAGCAGTGAGTAAGAAAGACATGAAGTTTTGTACAGTGAGTACTAGCTAAAATACCGAAATATTGTAAGAAGGAAAATTTATTTAAATCAATGGTCAAAGAAAATTTTCAATTTTTTGGTAAAAGATTAATTCTTCTGAAAAACTCTTCAACAGTTTAATTTCTAACCGTTATTAAAATATGTGATAAAACCGCTCCCTACATTTTTAGTTATCATTACTGTTGTTACTCTACAAGCCTATGCGTGTCTATCGTCAACTTTATAAGTTGAATATTTATTTGATAGGGTTGTAAATTTCAAGAATAAAAAAAAAAAATAGAGATGGGTATATTGCGGACTGTTGAAGTTATAAGGATAAAAAATGGTCAGGATATGCAGTCAAAAATTTGTTTTAGGTTTTTCAACCTTTCAACCCAAACATGTAGGTTGTCGGTAAAAATATATAAATAAATTTTTAGAATAATTGTTATTAAAAGTTAATTAATTTATGTTATTAGTTAATTTGTTTTAGACTTGATTATGACCCAAAGGTTTGAGTTGAAACGTCGACAAACTCAATAAACATATTTTCAATGCACACCCTGACCATTTTTCATACTTATCAATTTCAATTTTTCTATTCTTTATTCAGAAATATTATACTATTTACAATAAATAAAAATAATTAAACAGCAAAATAATAGTACTAAAAGTAAATGTATATAAACTAAAAGAGAGACTAAACTAAACAAAAATTCCATAAAATATTTACAAAATTCATTCACTCGAGATCTCTGAGCCAAGGCTTTCCCTCCACCGGTGGAAGGAAAGGCAGGACTCTAGGAGATCACAGCGCCACTCACCCAGCCGCATTACCGGTATTAAAGAGTTTAGGCTGAGCAGAGGGTCTATAACCAGACACATGGCTTGAGTAGAGAATCTGGCCTTTGCCAGAACTTCAATATATGTTTATTTACAAAAGGTCTCTGGGTCACTGCCGCTTCAATCTTCGAGGAGGGTTATAGGAATGGGTAGAGTTGGATAGGGATAGTACAACATACTTATAAATAAAAAAAATCTTCCTGTAAACTGCAGAGGCGCCCCAAAATAATTTTACACTGTTTTGATGTGTTACCTGGCTGAGAAGTATTTTTCCTAGTTTTTTTGCAAAAGTGAATTCAGATGAATATAAAATAAAATTAGGTAATCATAATTTAAGATTTTTTTGATAATTTGATTATAATTTTTAAAAATATAATGTTTTTTAAATTACAGGGCCTTACAGAGTCCTCTATGATGACAGCAGCTTGAAATTGTTAAGTACAGAACTGGAAGCCAATGTAAATTACCTCAAGGAAGACTATCTGAGATCCACTTTGATAAGTGATAATTTCGCCTTCGCCCAAAATGATCTCCTATCATATGTATCTGTTTTTAGTAAGTCTTATCATTCATAGAACCTATCAAAATTATGTAATTCTATAATTTATCAATGGACTTTAGAATTATGTTAACATTTTTATAAGTCAATTCTTAACTTTCCTATTCTTTGTTCCTCTAGATACCCTCCGCTACTTAAGCAGCGAAACTTCGCTCGGTCCATGGGCCATCGCAAGCAATGGATTTAGACAACTTTGGAGCCTCATCTATTTCACCGAACTGCGATTGCAATTCGAGGTAACTGTTTAGATTTTATAAAACGTTTTTTAAGGCAAAATTTAATATATATATGTTTAATATATTTAAAATTTAATATATGATTTTTACTTTGTTATTTACGACAATCATTTAGCAGATTCGGCATTTGTAGTTTTGGTAAAATAAAAAGGGATATTGAAAGTATTCTTTATTTTTTTTCTGAAACTATAGAATGATCTAAATAAACTATGTTTTCTCTATCCTAAATAAACCATGTTTTCTCTATCCTAAATAAACTATGAAGCTCTTAAACTATGCTCCGCGAAAATTAATAATTCCATACTTAAAATTAATATTCCATACTTACATGGTCAAGACTTTATTTATTTATTTTTTTTAATATTCAGTTATTAATACTATTAAACTTCTCATTTAAAATCAAAGTTCGATAACAAAATAAAGTTAGAGTGGTTCTCATAATAACATTTTTCAACATAAAACCAGACAAGACATTCTTCTACAAAACAATTGTATCATTCGCATAATGTTAACATTATTTACAGAAAACATTATAATAACATACATTTTGCAAAGAAATATTTCGTTTTTAAATTTCCAATCGATATTATTAGATACAATTATATTTTTATTCATTCCATTTTTTTTATTTTATCCTGGCATAAATGTCCATATTTATAAACGTGCAATATCATTTGTTAAGCTATACATTTGTATCAATATTTACTATAAAATCTTGCCCATGAGTCTACTAAACCAGAAATTAATTCTCAAGAACAAATTAAAACGTATAGATTTTGGTTTTAAGTCAATGGACCAGAGATGGCCAAAATTGGAATCAATGGTTACAACTGAATATAAAATTTAATGACGCCACCAATTTTATACTTGATTCAAAGTCCGCTATGAATATTGCAAAAATATGACAGTTTTACCTGATTATAGTCGTACCAGATTGTTATCGTGTAAACAAGTAATCAAAATCACTGTCATCGTAATCACGTATTCATAATTACTGTAATTGTAATCGTTGATTATGATTATGCGGATCTAAGCTCTGGACTTACATATGTTAAAGAAGCTCTAGAACATTCCAAAACATAACTTAATGTACATATCAATTCCACTCAAAGTTTTCTCATTAATTCATAATTAAGTTTTCTATTTTTTCATAATTACTACAGACATGATATATCAGTATTATTTAAATATGAATATGTTTTGCTTGTTAGAACTACGTTACAGACCTCATGAGACATTCCTACCTCCACTACGGTTTGAGTATTAATGATGGTGACTTCCAAAAAGGCAAAATTGTGAAACTAATAGTCAGTTCAATGTGTGACTACGGCGATGAGGTGTGTCGCAGGCAAGCGAAGGAAGCTTACCAGACCTATATCGTTGGAAAGAAAAGGTTTGTATTGTTCAATATATAAATATTTTACGTCTAAGTATGATATTGAGCTATGGGTTCAATCAATGCATACCTCACCACTATCTCTAAAACAAAATTTATATATTTATTGATATTTTGTAGAATTATATTATGATTTTATATAATTATTAAAAAAGCTAGATTTCATATTGACGTATTTAAATTTTGTCTACAGGGTGGCCAACACAGCCATCGTAGAAGAGCTGTATTGCAACGGCCTCCGAGATATCACAGACAGCCAACCGATCAAGGAACTCCTCAAAAGCAGCTACAAAACAACTCTAACAACCTACCAGAAACAAAGCCTCTTCTATTACCTTTCATGCTCCGGTGGTGAATATGGTTCGTCCCAGGCAATAAATAGGTAATAAATTGTATTTGTTAAAAAAAATGTATAACTATTTTATTAGCTGGATGTGAAGTTTTTCACATTTTTATCTCATACAAGACCATCTTGATCATATTTTAATTGGGCTGCCAGCAGGTGGAAAGTAAAAATGAACGAGACGATAAGCGTATTTATTGTTTTAAAACTAAATCATGGTATATTTCCACAAATTTTCTTCAATATTGTTCCCATCACTACCTCAGAAGAATTACGTTACTCGCACTTTACCTGGAAAAGAGACTGACATGAGGAACTCATACTAGACTGGTACGAAAACTACTGAACAAACGATTTGGACTGTTATCTAGGCTACTTGACAGACGCACCAAATAACTAACAAACTATCTACAAATTAATTACAAATAGAGCTACGCGGTACTGTGAAGAAGTCTAATATCCACAAATATGTGATTGACTTACCAAACAATTGGCGTATGCTGATGACGTTCTAATATCATCAAGATCTATCGATCTGATTGTTCTATCAGGTGCTTTACGGAAGTTGGAAGAGGATAGAAAAAAATTGAGTCATAAGATAAATAAGGTAAAAAACCCAATATATGATATTCTCAAGAAGTAAGAGACAAGAAGAACAGGGTAGAATGCAACTGCTTTACCACACTTTTAAGAGATTTCATAGCTTAAAATACCTAGGAGCTTTAGTGACGTGCAAAAATGACATCAGGAAATAGAAGCAAGAATTGCAGCAGGCAACAGATGTATTTTTGCATTAAGGAAAACATGTCGTTTTTGAAACCTCTCACGGAAGTCAAAGCTACTTGTTTATAAAACGATTAACGCTTAATTATATTTATTTCATACAGTAATTATATAATTAATTTATAAATATCAACTACCATATTTATATCTGAAATATTTTGTGTTTTGTTAGCCTTCTAGAAAATGTTTTGGTGTCGAGCGAGTACGACCAAATGCCCGCAGAAGATATGATCGTTGCTTTTAAACAAATCGCCAGCAAGCCACAGCATTACGAAGAAGCCCTTGGTTACTTCCAAGATAAATATTACCAAATTAGAACCAAGTAAGGAAAACATGTTAATATAATTATGAAATTACTAATAAAAGTTTTCTATAATTTTTGAAATTACCTCAATTTTATATTAAAAAGACATTTTGGAATGGTTGCTTTTAAACTAATAGCATATGTTTTTCTTAGGTTGGATGAAAATCACAAAGCCGAGTTGATTCGTTATCTAGGTACCTTGGGTTCAACAGCCGACCATCTAAGTATTGTAAGTAATATTTTGTATGTCATCTCAATACCTACATTACTTGATAACTTTATGGTGAAGTGTAGAAGACAATAAAAAAATTCTGGAACTGGGTCCTTTAAGAATTACAGTAATGTACAAACAAGCAAAAAACAATTACTAAGCAAAAACTACTTCCCTCACCATTTAATAGCGTTTAATACCGAAAAAAAAACTTCAATTTATATAATTCTACTTTCATTTACAATATTTTCAAGAAGAGAAGAGCAATAAATTTTCTTGAGAGAGAGGGCATATTGAGGGTGGGCCACTTCTGAACTTTCCTATGTTTCGGAAACGAATCAACTGATTTATCTCTCAAAGTTGGGGATTAATATATTGTATAACTTATAAGGCTTATCAAAATCCAACAGCTACTGTTGGTTATGCCTGCAAAGATGTATTTTTCTTGATTTACAAATGATTTGTAAATTTATGATACTATCTGTGACAGTAGATGATGATAGTAGCATCGTTTCTAAATGATGTTTTTTTTGTTACAAGAAATTAGTATGGGGTGCGGTAAAAAAAATACTATATTTTATATAGTACATATACTATAAACTTTATTTACAATAAAATATACTATTATATAAAATATAGTATTTTTTACCACACTCCCGACTAATTTCTTGTGAAATTGAATCCACAGTCAACCATCTCCATGTCATGATGATAATTTGTCATCAAGCTTGAAATATAGATAAGAAGTGGTGAGGAAGCTATTCTAAACTTAATTGAAAAACGTCAGTAGCTGCTCAATAAATATAACAATCTAAGTATTATTTTTAAACTTTATGTATATATATATATATATATATATATATATATATATATATATATATATATATATATACATGTATGTATATATATATGTGTGTATGTATATATGTGTGTATGTATACAGGGTGAATTAAGAGGAAAGGACCGAACCCTAGGAGAGGGTTGCACACAGGGAAATAAAAAAAAACCTAATATATTTTTATCCGATTTAAATTTTAATATTAAAATTAAATTAAATTTTATTGATTAATAATATTATTGATTAATTTTTTCGAATATTTTTTATGTAAATTGATTATGTAAACTGCTATTTTCTTCCAGATATCTGTCATACAAATTGATCCGTATCTATAAGTTACAATCTTAATGTTTCTAGTTCTAAAATTTACGTTTTCATGAAAATAATTGAAGCAATCAGCTTTTTTTTTCTCTTTTTTTTTTGTTACTGACTTAATGATTTTTTTAAAAAACAGAACTTAGCTTAGTTTAGCCGTTCAAAAAAGTTCTCTTTAAATGTTTTTAACAATGGCAAACTGTACTTTCGTTTGTAATAAATTTTAGTTTACATTGAAGCAGTAGTTAATTCCTTAAATTAAATATTTCTTCAGTTATCGCTCCCATTAAAAAAAGAAAATGACAAAACTCCATGCAAAAAAAAAAAAAAAAAAAATACTTAACTGCAATTTCCTAATTCTCTGTTGAAAATCAGTCCATTGTTTATATGAGCTTATTAATGTAGCTCTTGAGGTCTGCTACCATCCCCCCTACTCACGTGTCGCCCCCCCCGTGTGTGTGTGTGTGTGTGTGTGTGTGTGTGTGTGTGTGTGTGTGTATACATATATAGTTGAAGTGTAAATGTATATATAAAAAAATAAACCTTTATTTCATTTTTTTGACAGTTTGGAAACTTCACCTTCAGAAATGCGAGCAGCAGCGACACCGTAAAGGCTGTTCAAGATGCGATCAAATCAGTACAAACGAACAAGCAATTCATAGTGAACCATTACGACGACATGTACAATGGTCTCTACGGGTTCGCCCCTTCACCAACCACCGACAAACCCGGCCCCACAGACATAACCCCATCGTCGCCAACAACACCTACCACCTCTCCACCAAGTGGTTCGTCCCTCTCCGCTGTTATCTATCCCACCCTATTGATAATGTCTGGATTAATTCTGAGGTATATAAATTAGTCACAAACCCTCTACACTATATATAATACAAATAAGAAACTTTGTGAAACATTATGCATTATAAAGAAAATCGAATATTTCCATGCTGAAATGAAAACAAGTGTAGAGAGTCGGCACATTATAAATTAATTTGAAATTGTAAATATTTGAAGCTTAATCGTATTTCATAAATATAGATTTGCAATTCATAAGAGAAGTAAACAAAAAAATGTTAGTATTTTTAAGAAAATTTCACTGTAGTTCATAATTATTATGAATGATATTTGATGAACCACGACTGGAGTTAGTTATTTATGCTTATTTTTATTATCGTGTTATTACTTTAGTAATTTCATTGTTAAATTATATTTTTTTCTTCTTTTTTTTTCTCTTTTTCTCGCCCCTGTTCTTAAGGGTCATTGGCCTTTTCTATAATTTATATTCTATTATAGAATATAACAGAATATAACTATTATAAATTATATTTTATAATCTTGAAATCAGTCAAAATATAAGTGATAAATTTAGTTATGTAAGTGTAACTATTATTGTTATGTTTTATTTACATCACTGTAATATATTAATAAAATGATTTATTTTTAATATAATCGTTTCGCTGCTAACCCTTGAGTAAACTTTGACTACTTCTTCATTGGTATCATAAGTTGTCATTTAGCATGACTAAAATGTACCCCCAATTCGATGGTGTTGTTCCAGAAAGAGCTTGTGAGCGTATCAAAGTGCAAACTTTACGATTCTCGAGTCTAGCGATTTTTGTTCGAACCCGGCCTGGGCAGATTTATTTATTTCACACTGGACTCATGGAATCAATCAAGACCTTCTCACTCTGGAAAGAATTTTATTGTACCTCTATAACAGCCCCCTCCCCCCACCCTTCAACATAAGCTATGTAGGGAGTAATCGAAAAAGTATTCATCTAGCAAGAAAAAAAAAATCGAATACCAGCTCATTTTATCCGATGGGAACAACTCGGATTACTGAGAACTACCAAAGAAAGAAAAACTACGGCGTGGGCTTAAGACTACACGATAAAATTGGAAACATCAACAAGGCGAGATTAATAATATGAAATATAAATATTTGTTTGAGATATTTTAATACAAATGTTATAAAAAAAAATGCTTTCCATTTTTTGCCACTCTAACACGTCGTCTCGTCAAGATACAATTTCGAATAATAACTAGTTTACAAAGAGGATGAAATCCTGAACATTTCTCTCACCTACAATATCCAGATCCGATTATTAGTTTCTGAAATATTTCAATATAAATGCAAAAAATTGTCGATTCAAGCCGACTTTAGTCGAAAAGTGTTACATAGCCTAGCGTGACGGCTCAGTGTCATTCAATGCCCACAAAATAAACTGCTTAGCTCGCATGAAAAGTTTTCACTTCTAAAATTATAATGATTATAATAACTTAGGTCTAAACCCCCATAGTCGTGTTCTACGGTTCTGGAACAGTTATGAAATGTACATCCCCCCATTCCAAAACATAAGACTAAAAAGTCATCATCTACTTCCCAGTTTAAAAATATTAAACCAGGATAAGGAAAGATGTGAAGTCTTCCTCTATGTTTGACACAGTTAAATTTACGCCTGTTCCTTGTAGTTGAGTAAAAGATAGTTTTCATGACGTCATCTGGTCTAGCTAAGGAATTACGGTAGATTCGAAGCATACTGTAAAGCCAAAGTGGCTACATTGAACTCTTGATTCAATTTTAAAGCAGAATTGTTAATTGATAATTATGGTTTGTTGCTAATCTAAATGTTTCAAACTATTTTCAAATATTATTATAGGACATTTTAAAGGAAGAAGAAGAAGAAAAATAAATGTTATTCTGGAACTAAGTCCCCTTAGAATAACTACAATGTATAATTTAATGACAATTGTCTGGCATTAGAAATAATTAGGAAAAAATTAAATTACATGATTGTCTAGATCTAAGGTTACAATAAAGAAAAGGCACTGCTAGATATAAGAAATCATAGATAAATTCAGATATGCGAGTTCACATATTTGTGCACATAAACGATGTGGATGATATATAATGATCTGTCAGATAACATTAAAGCGACTGACAGATCTGAAAAACTTGAACATTATTTTACACTTATTCGGAAGATTGATTACTGAGGAGATGGATAAATAAATTATGTTTAAATAAGGTCAAGGATGATGATTTGCGTATGGAGATTGGTGGGGAATTCCAAATATCTAACAAGTTTCCATTTTACACAATTCTATTGCCGTTTTCTTTCAGTCCGATATTACAAAATCAACATTGTTCTTAGCATTTTATTCACATTTAATTAAATTTATATAAAATCAAAAACTCCAAACTAGCTAGCACTAGCGGTAGTGTTGCCCAAATGCGAGACCGAGAAGAGTCTTGGTCTTGCAAACTCAGTCTTGGTCATGGTCTTGGTCTTGCACAAGAGTCTCGCAAGAGTCTTGCAGTTACTTATTAGTTATTACTATAGAGATATTACTGTAATTTTTTAGATAGGAGAAACCTACCTAAGCCAGAATGAAAAATTAGAGGAGTTAAATGCAAAAGTATATTGGTTATACCAATTATTAACATATAGTAAATAAGATTGTCAAGTATAACTAACTATTTTACCTTAATTTTTATTTAAAAAATCGATTTTTTTACCAGTCCTGGTCTTGGTCTTGCAATAGTTAGGAGGCCTTGGTCTTGGTCGTGCAAAGTGCAAGACTAACTAGCGGACCCAGGGTTTAATTTTGGAGGGAGGAGGATGAGGGTTTAAGCCTGAAAGTTCTTTATATATATATATATATATATATATATATATATATATATATATATATATATATATATATATATATAAGTTAAGGTACGGAGCGGGACAGTATTAGCTTTAATACCAAAAGCATTTATGTAAACAACTTAGAATGTATATATAGAGGATTATAAGGAGGAATAAAGCAGTCTTGTTTCTGACTTCATGCGTGTTATTTTTTGAACCTTTACTCTTTTTTTTTAAGTGTTTAAAGCCCGCAACGTTTAACTGGTGCCGAAACCCGAGAAGGTGAGAGTGCAGAGGTACGTTTTTTTTAAAACCAGAGGAGAACCATTACGAGCATGCCTGAATTTGCCTTAAGGCAGCCGGCTACCATGAATGTGCCAGAGATCCCTCCGTTACCGCAGGGAACCTTTGCCGCGGCGCATGCGAATGCGATAGAGTGGATGAAAATCCGGGTAGCCACTGCACAGGACCTCAGGGAGGCTATATCCAATCTCGAGCGCTTCACTGGAGAAATAGGTGAGCTCAACCATTTTTTAAAGGGTGGAGATCGGCTCGTGGCGAGAATTAACGCGAAGATTGGCGAGAACCTTAAGGGTAAAACGGAGCATCCTGAACCACATTCAGGCAGATGAAGAGACGCCGTGGGAAATGGTCAAGGAGAGACTGAAGAAGGCCTACGGTGGTGGCAGATGGACTACGGAAGAAGACATCTATCAGATGTTTCGCGAGGTGAAGTCTTCACGGCAGTCCAACGGACAGTATGCGGCAACATTAGTAGCTCACTACAACCGGATCACCGAGAAGATGCGGGAGACAGCTGGAGCTCCGGAGGTCGAAGCGAAGATGGCCTTCTTGTCCACCATACTGAAGGTGCAATTGGCGAAGGAAACGGGGAAGAAAGATGGCCTACCCCGGGAACGTTCGTTTATTGAATGCGCCCAAGAAATGGTAGATTCCAGCGCTCGAGATGAAGAAGCCCGGTTAGAGGGGGAGGAACCAGGATGGAATAGAGTGATCTATTGGAGACCTAGGAGTTCACCAACGACCTGGAGAAGGAGAGAGCCCGCACACAACGGGAGAGAAAAGACCACCGGAGCCGAACGAAGACCAGGACAAGGTAGAGCAAGAGGTAGCCAACGGAGAGAGGACAGGAAATGCCACGGTTGTGGAAAGAGCGGACACCTGGTAGCACAGTGTCCCCACACGAAATGTTTTGAGTGTGGGACTGAGGGACACATTGCGAGGCAATGTCCGTACATCTATTCCAGAAGAGGCTCACAGAGGGTTGAGCCGATGGAGGTAAATGCCCAGGAAGTGAGGAGAAGAAGGATACACGCAAGGAGGAGCGAGTCATCAAGAGACTCGTCGGAGGAATCCTTGGCCACGGAGACAGAAGAAGAGACAGAGGACCCAGTAGGCCGGGAGAACGAGAGGAGTCGAGGAAGAAGCAGCGGAAGGAGTGGACGCCGACAAACCGTGGAGAGGATCTGAGGAGAATGTCAGGCGAGGGGTGACCGCACGCTAGTGAGTTGTAACATCAGAGGTAAAAGCTGCTGGTTACCTATAATAGAGGTGGGAGGAGTGCGATGCCTGGTAGACACCGGGAGTTCCAATACCATCATGACACGGGGAGTGTTGAAGAAGCTGTACGATGGAGAGAGGACACTCCAAGTCAAGGTATGTAATTGTAAGTTAATCACCCTGGGTGGCCCGTGTGGGGTAGAAGGGGAAGTGGAGATAGGTTTGAGGAGGTGGGCAGCCAAGGGAGGTAAACTTACGGTGCATGTAGTGGGAGAAATGCCGCAGGAATACCAGTAATTATAGGATGTGACATGTTGGGGAAGGTGGGCGTGCGAATCGCATATAGAAGGGAGGAGTGGAAAATAAATATGGGGAGAATCAGGTATACGAGTACGATGGCAATAGAGGGGCATGAGGACCGGAGAGCACGTGTGGGAGCTATAAGTCGGGCGGAGGATTGGAGAGTAGTCGTGAGAAGGGAATTCGAAGACATCTTTTAAAGGAGGGAGATACGTTGGGGGTGACGGGCAAAACGGTGCACGAGATACCGCTGAAGCGCGAAAAGGTGAGCTACGTGAAAGAGAGGAGGTATCCGCAGGCACTTCGCCAATACATTAGGGAAGAGTTGGAGAGTCTAAAGAAGCAGGGGATAATTGTCGATAGCACGTCGCCATATAATAGCCCGCTATGGGCAGTTAAGAAGAAAAGCGCGCCCGGAGAGGATAAGTACCGCGTGGTAATCGATTACCGCAAACTTAATGAGAATACTGTGGATGAAAAATACCCAATCCCGAAGTTTGAGGACATTTTAGATCGGTTAAGCGGGGCAACGGTATTCAGTACTCTTGACCTGAAAGCCGGATATCATCGGATTAGGATGCTTCCGGAGGATCAATTGAAGACAGCATTCGCGTTCGAGAGGGGGCATTACGAATTTACGAGAATGCCATTTGGTCTCAAGAATGCCCCTATAACATTCCAGCGGCTAATGGACGAGTTCCTAAGGGGAATTGACGAAGGGATGTGCCAAATTTACATGGACGACCTGTTGGTATTTAGTAAAAACGAGGCGGAACACGTAGAGCATCTACGTAGGGTATTTGAGAGAGTCAGGCAATTTGGGCTGAAACTGTCCAGCGAGAAATGTCTGTTAGGGCAGGACCACATAAATTTTTTAGGCCACACGATATCGAGTGAAGGAGTAAAACCTGACGCGCGGAAAGTGGAGGCGATTCAGAAGATGGCAATACCTCGGGATGTAAAAGGGATCCGCAGATTGTTGGGAACCCTTAATTATTATCGACGATTTGTGCCCGAAATGGCGGAATACCTCGTACCCCTCAACAATTTATTAAAGAAAGGCAGCAAGGTGATAGTAACCCCCATAATGGAAGACAACATTCGGAAATGCATGGCGAGGCTGCAAGAGGAGCCAGTATTAGCATTTCCGGATTTTACGAAAGTGTTTACGATCACAACGGACGCTAGCGAATACGCGTTGGGGGCTGTGTTATCCCAGGATGGAAATGGGGGAGACCGTCCCGTAGCATATGCCAGCAGGCGACTTACGGAGGCAGAGTCGCGATACAGTGCGCTGGAGAGAGAACTGTTAGCGATCGTATGGGCTATCGACCATTTTAGACCATATGTTTTTGGGAGGAAATTCCGCGTGCAGACGGACCATAGACCCCTACAATGGGTAGGCAAGCTAAAGGAATCTTCGGCTAGAGTCACACGCTGGAAGGAGATTCTTAACCAGTACAACATGGACATTGTGTACAAGCCCGGAAGAGAGAATGTGGTGGCGGATTGGCTATCGAGAGCGCTAACTATAAATGCCATAGAGGAGGATACAGCTGAATCATCGGGAGGCGTGAGACAATTCCTGAGGGACTGGACGCCAGAGGGAGAGGGGGTACAAGTGGTGGAAGAAAATGTTGATACCCAACAAGAAGAAAGTCCAGCGGAAGAGAGGCCAGTGGACATGGAAGAACGGGAGGAAATCGTCAACGATAAGAACCGCCAGATCATCTGGAAAACCAGGACGTCGGGTCTGATGAAGATATTATATAGTAAGTACGGCAACAGCCGAATAACAACCATTTGGTCACAACCAGGGGCCAGCGTGGACCAGATCTGCAGAGCTCTCAAAGACGCGTCGAAAGCAAGGAAAATTCACCACTTATATGTAGGAAATGAAACGATTTGGGAGAAGATAAAGAGGCTATGGCGGGATGAACGATTAGGGAAGGATAGGACGTTCATTCGGTGCAAACTGATGGTGGATACAGTGCGGGATGAAGAGCATCAGAAGGACATAACGCTTGCTTACCACCAGGGCAAGACCAACCACCGTGGGGCGCAGGAGACGTTTCAAGCGTTGCGTCGGAAATATTTTTGGTGGGGGATGAAGAAAATGATCGCAGAGCTCATAGGGTCCTGCAGGGTGTGCGCGAGCACAAAGTACGATAGGCACCCCCCGAAAACGATGCAAGAGGAGACACCCACGGTCGATGCACCACTAAGCGACTTGCAAGTGGATACGTTCACATGGAGAGGGTATAAGTGGGTCACGCTCATAGACCTCTTCAGCAAAGCGGCTATGGCGTACCTGGTACAGGAGCGGTCAGCAGAGGCAGTCTTAGGAGCCCTCCAGACGTGGTTCCAATTTTACGGAGTACCCGATCGCATAATCTCCGACGGGGGCAGAGAGTTCGACAATGCCAAAATCAGAGCGGAGATGAAGAACGTAGGTGTCAGCTGGCATCTTAATACTCCAGGGCAACCCAAGAGAAGAGGAAGTATAGAGAGGCTGCACAG